CTTTGAGGGTTGCAAGTGAGGTCTTGCCTTGTGATGCAGTTGGGTGCTTTCCCCAATGTATGTCCTATCCACCTCCAGCGCTTCCTGATTTCCATCTCCACTGGGAAAATGAATCTAGTCAGAATTAATTGTGTTTTTAATTCAATTTCATACTTCATTAATTAGTGTTATTTAGACTAGAGTTTGACATTATCGGTCAACTTTGATTTACGTGCTGCTACGTTTGTCGATTAGGTTGTATGACGTGCCGAGATTAAAGGAATATTTGATATGTCACATAGATAAATTAAACTGAACATATATATTGAATTTATTAATAAAACAAGTGAAATTTTGCAAGTACGTTGTTAGTCCTATGAAGAAATCATTTATAGAGATGTAAATAATCTTTATTGATCTATATATGGTATGAAATTCACTTCAAATTTAGTCATCCTATCTAATATGAACATTTATTAAGTATCCTAGATAAGTTATCAGTGATTATACACAGTAAATTTATCCACAATGGTGATTCATGAGTTCTCACGCTAAATAATGAATCAAATTTATTCAATGAAGTTAGATAAATATACGCCTAGGCAAATGAAACACCCGTTATTGCAAAACACTGGAAATCGATTGTTTTTTTTTATTGAAAAATATCATGTTCAATGCATCATTAATAATTAAGCATACATAACAATGGTTACTTCTGTATGATTAATTAACATAATTAACAAACTGTAATCAAGCAACTTCACTGGCCATTAAAATCAATATATATATATATATATATATCCTACTGATAAGCTGTTGTAAGACATGAAACTACAAGTTTATGAATTCAATAGCGCTTATTATTCCCGTTTATAATTTCATTTATTTCCTGGTAATGCAACAAAGTAGTAGATCAGAGTTGTAGACAACACTTTATGATGATTTTTTGGACAGGATACTTACTTTCGCCTGTTACCCCAAATGAAGAATAAGCCACCGACTAGTATTCATCAATCTTCTCCGATCTCGGCTTCTCTTCCCAGTTCTGTCCAATTGTATTTCAATCTTCACACGTTTGTCTCCATTTCTCGGCGTAATCTGTTTCCTGGCCTTCCTCGTTTCCTTTGGCTTTGAGGGTTGCAAGTGAGGTCTTGCCTTGTGATGCAGTTGGGTGCTTTCCCCAATGTATGTCCTATCCACCTCCAGCGCTTCCTGATTTCCATCTCCACTGAAATTTGGTTCGTTCGTTCCCACAGTAGGTTGTTTCTGATGGTGTCTGGTCAGCGAATCCGAAGTATTTTGTTTAGGCAACTGTTAATAAATATTTGTATCTTCTGGATGATGGTCTTTGTAGTTTTCCAAGTCTCCGCCCCATATAGTAGAACTGTCTTGACATTTGTATTGAAAATTGTGACGTTGGAGTTTATTGATAGTTGTTTTCAGTTCCAGATGTTGTTCAGTTGTAGAAATACAGCCTTTTCTTTCTCAGTCCTCATATTCACATCTGCATCAGATCCACCATGCTCGTAGATGATGCTGCCCAGATATGTAATGCTTTTTGCATTCGTGTCGTAGAATCTTGCTTTTCCCTTTGTGTATGTTCAGACCTGTTGCTGGTGCTGAAGCTGCTGCTACACTGATCGTCTTCTTTTGCGTTTGTTCTTGCTGGTGCGATAGAAAAGCCAGATCATCTGCCAAATCCCAATCGTCCAGTTGCATCCTAGTTAACTTAGACAGAATAACAACGAATACAACTTCGAAATAGTTGATATTCATTAAATTATGTAACGAATTTTCATTATTCGTTCATGTTGTCCATACATCAACACGGAATACATGTAAAAAAAAGTCACAGTATCGATCAATCAACAGTGATATAAATTACTGTAAACGAATACAGGTCAATTCATGTGAAATGGAACTTTTTTTTATTTAAAATAAAGAATTCATATAAAATGTTTTATTGATACACTTTACAATCATGATAAAAAAAGAACATGCGCGTGAGGTCACGCAAAATCCCTAGATCAATTAGAGTTAGACATTAAACACCGTTAGATGCCGGCCCAGTGGTCCAGAGGTTAGGCGTTCGCGCTCAAGACCCGAAATTCTAGGTTTGAGTCCTGCGAGTTGCAGGAATCGTGGATGTGCCCTGATTATGAGTCTCATACCAGGATGAAACGGCCATTCACTGCTTCCAGGTTTCTAATGCTCTGGTCTAACAATGATTGATTGATTGTTTGATTTCAAATGTGTAAAAACACTAATCACCATTATTCTAATTAAACAAAACATGTTTACGAGATTTCAGTTTGCGGTTTCTCATTAACAAATACACAGAATTTTTGTACTAAACGTTGTTGGTCGATCACTGATGATTTAATGCAAACTTTTAACGAGCTATTTAACTAGTGAAATGAGAATTCAAATTGTTTATCAATTAACGTATTAACATACAACCTGTATTGAGTTTGTGAAGTTCACAAAGATCTATACAAACAACTTGGTCTTTTGTTATCAACTATGTTCTAGAATGTTCTACATATGATACTTATCTGCAATGTTCTTGTTTAGATTCTTAGGATTATTTATGTACCTCGATATAATTGCGACTAAATAACGTTTCAGTTTGTCTTTTTGTGAACGTGTCATCCTACCAGCTAATTGGTTAGATCACTCAGATGTTTATATAGTTTCGATTCAAATCCTCATTGTTGAATTTGTATGAAAGCGAATTAGGGTTACTACATCATATAGTTCTCGTTATTAACTGACACCAACTGTGATTCAAAAAGTTTGCGATTAGATATTAGGAGTTAAGTTGTATTTTTGAATTTGTCATACAAATAAGGGTCACGTTTTTGTTTTACGAAACGGCGTCAAATATGATGTAATTCCTTGTCGCCCTTCCGATTTTACAAAATTAATAGAATTACAGTAAGATCTAACAAGAGACGATATTATCTTGCTTTACTAAACCACTATACAACACATCGAATCACAACTAATACTTAAATACACAAACTAGCTCGAACAGAATGGTATAAATTTACTTTACTTTACTCATGGTTTCAAAAATTTGTAACTTAACAATATTCACAACACCGTAATGCAAATTACCTGTGCTCACTAGTGACTAGCTTCGTCAGGAATCTTCTCCCAGTTCTAGTGGGAAGACGTGACCAGTGAAGTTCAACTTGTTCGGGTGTAGACAGTAACTACCGAAGACTGTGTATGAGGTTGCACAACTCCGTGAATTGATCAAGTTAGACATTAAGACCATTGGGTACCGGCTCAGTGGTCCGATGGTTAGGCGTTCGCGCACAATACGGAAGGTGCTGGGTTCGAATCCTGCGAGGTGCAGGAGTCGTGGATGCGCACTGCTGAGGAGTCCCATACCAGGATGAAACGGCCGTCCAGTGCTTGTGGGTTTCTAATGGTGATCTAACATTGATCGATTCATGGTTTCAAAATTATTTACTCATGTTCTCGTTATTTGCATACAAACTGTGTTGAATTTGCTAAGTTCGCAAAGATCTATACAAACAACTTGATCTTTTGTTATCAACTATGTTCTAGAATGTTCTACATAGGATACTTATCTGCAATGTTCTTGCTTAATTTCTTAAGATTATTTTTGCACCTCGATATAATTCCTACTACACCGATCATTCGAACGTTTCATTTTGTTGATCACAACAAAAATGATTTTTTCCAGTTTGTCTTCTTTTGAGCATCTAGGTGTTGTATTGTCCTATGAATTGATTGGTTGAGTGAGTCAATCAAGTTCTTATGTAAAATCATCACCGAATACTTCATAGTAAAAGCGAATTAGTGTAATCTCACCATGGAGTTTTCGTCACTAACTGACACCCACTTTAATTTAAAAAAGTTCTGGGTTAGATATTAAGAGATAAGCTGTAGTTTTGAATTGGTTTTATGAAAAACGGTCATGCTTTTCATCACGAAACGGCATCACATATAATAAAATACCTTGTCTCTCTTCTGTTTTCACAAGATTAAGAGAATTTGAGTTGAGATTTAAAGTAATAGTTAGAAGGAGGAGGATATTGTCAATCTGTACTAAACACTTTACAGCACATTGAAGTGTTACGCTCGTCTCTAGGTATGCTTCAACGCTTACGGGTTCACCTTAGTCGAATAACGAGAACAAAACAATGAACAAGCGTTCAAGTAGGCTACTATGAACCCTTGACCAAATTGAATCAACAAGAATTCTTGATATAGTGTAGAAATTGTGTTCTAAAAACGCCCAGCCAACAAACACAATAAATCCAAGCACTCAAATTGCGTTTATTTATACCCTATAGAGACGCCTTTGGGACAGTCACAAAAATAGCACACTAAAATAACACAGTAACCAATCACAGCCAAGGATTTTCCTGGTGGGAAATGTGATCTCAAGGTCAACTAATCGGTCCATGAAATAAATCCAAAATAGAGATATTATTTATCAAGCGAGTTCTGGAGATCTAACATCCCCAACACGAAGCCCAACTAATACTTAAATACACAAACTAACCTGAGAGCAATATTGTTTCTTTATGTTTAAATCATTTTCAACAAACATCCTTAAAACTTTAATTTCCGATGTTTTAATAGAAATTTTTTTATTGATTTCAAGAATATTCAAGAATACACATAGATTATCAATGTTTACTTTAGTCATCATAAAATAATATTACAAGCCAAACAATCGTTACACTTTCAATTTCACACAAAATACATGAGGCCTTTTTATTTGATTGATTGATTCTGATTAATTCTGATTGATTCAATTATAAGGACGTTGTCACTGTAGGATAGATACATTTTTGATGAACATTAGAAAAAAATCTAATTGTACTTTCAAAGGTTGGGATTAGCTTTTCTTTTTCTGTATTTACAAGGCATTAATTCTTCACATGAAATGAACTTTTATTTGCCATTTAAATTACTACGAACAGTATGATTATTATTGACCTGTTGTTTCATAAAAAATTTTTCATTTAAAGTAAACAATGACATTTACACGCAAACTAGTTTTTTATACTGGGCGGAATGTATGTGAGTTTACAGCTTGTTTTCATTTTTTTGTGATTTTCATTTACACATGCAAATGATGTACTTCAAAGTAGTAGTGTACTACAACACTGTTAGGATATTGGTCCAATATCCTAGGAGAATTATTGGATAATTCTTATTGGTTAATTCCTACTGATCAGTATTATGGTCGTCCTGTCTATCAATGTCACATACGTCGATGTTGTTTCTTATTCGACCTAACAGTATAAATACTCATTAACTGTAACGTTTTAGGACGCGAACCTGGATCCCTAGTCCGGGATCCTGATTCTCTTCTGGACTCGGACCTCGTACATTCTGGATGGTTTTAGAATACACGTTCTACTTCATATAAAGTCTTCTTGTTCTTTTACTCAATGCGGGGGAGTGGGTGTTGGGGACAATCGGATTAAAATAGCCTGTTGTGTCACCGGACCCTGGATCCTCTCTCTCGTTTTCCGACTAAGATAAACTCTTAGTAGTTCAAGCATATCAAACTGACATGTTTACATGCACACTGTAACAAACACAAACTTTAATTACTTATTCATTTCACTAGAGAATTCTGTTTGTTTTTCGTTTACTTTGATATTGTCTAATCTAGTTTAATATGCAAAAACTATACGCATCAGAGTTTGTTTTGCTATTGAAAATTGATATTTTTCAGGCTTTACATTAGAAAGATACCATTTATTCAGTGATTTCAATGAGTCACTCTTAAAAAAAAACAGCACATGAAATGCGGTGTTTTTTGAACACACACACACACACACAGGCACAGAGATGATTACATTTTGCACAAATACACTCGGTCCGTAGCTTATTCATAGCGCTATCCAATAGACCGCACCACAATCAAGAAGGGTCGGCCAGTGCTTCCACAGTTTTTGTAATACTAGTCTAATAATGATTCATTCATGATTTCACTGTGTTTTCTAACATTGATATGTTTATTGAATATTGTTGTTATTATTGCAAACTGTTTATTTAATTGGAACCGAAAAATGAAATTTAAATAAAATAAAATGTAAACAATAAAATGAATCCAGATTTGGTTAAGAACAACAATTACCGGTATATTTGTTTGTTTTTTTTTTCTGAAATGCACAGCAATTATTTTGTTTTGTAAGTTAAAAATGCATAGACTATTTGGAATGCTTGCTAAGAAGATTACCTTTCTTAATTTTTATTATTGGCAATAAGCAGCAGAAAGCTAGACCATATTTGGATTGTAAAAATTGAGAGACAGGCAATAAGCCTATTAACCTTGGGGTTGTTAAAATAGTTGGAATAGTTTATTACTAACTTTCTTTGCATTTCGTTATTGTATCCTAATGTTGTGGTGGTGATTAGTTAGTTCTCTGAGCTGGTTGTTTTGGTTGTGGAGCTTTCATTGCTGTTCTTCTGAACAACATCATTAGCACAAACTTTAGATAGAAGAAGTGAAGAGTATTAGAATTTCTCCACATTTGACCTGTAGCTTGTTCTGCTAACCTCGATCTTGATTGGTTGCCGTTGACCTTTGACCTGTCGCTGTTTGCAACTTTGTTTTGATTGCATCCCCCTTTTGATCTGTTTCTTGATCTTGTGTCATCTATGATTTTCCTGAATAGTTGATAAATTGGGTCAATGACGATGTGTTTGATGATTGCTGATTGACCTGAGTGCTTCTAAAAATTCTCTAGTGTTCTTTGTCCTCCCCCTACCGAGTATTTCCACACTGTTCCAATCAAATGTGTGTCCATTATTGTCGGTGTCCGAAGTTTGTGCTGATGATGTTGTTCAGAAGAACAGCAATGAAAGCTCCACAACCAAAGCAACCAGCTCAGAGAACGAAACACCGCCACAATCATCCACCTGAGCTACAAGTTTTCTCCACCATCCTAATGTTGTCTTTTTTTCAATTAGAGTTAGGGGAATCAGTGTTTTTACACATTTGAAATCGTGAATCAACCATTGTTAGATCACCAATGGAAACCTACAAGCCCTGGACGGCCGTATGGGACTTATCAGTGACAGTGCGCATCCATGACTCCTGCAACTCACAGGATTCGAACCCAGGACGTCTAATAACAAGACGAAACGTTTATCCAGGGCTTCTACGGTTTCTAATGGTGGTCTAACAATGATTGATTGATGATTTTGAATGTTATTTTTTTGAAATTCACAACAGTAGATAACTAAGAATAAAACTTTACTTGATTTTCAATAAGAATTCCGATTTGTTCCATTCAAAATAGTATTGAACAAAATCTTAGAAAATATATACACTCAAAATAATGTTATGTAACAACACTATAAGATATATATTAGCGAGTTAATGACCATTTGTAAGCAGCGCCACAGTGCATGACAGGTGCCAGTTTGCATTTTTTTTTCTTTGCTGATCGATATTTTCAAGTGCACTAATGTAATCATAGCCGGTTGAATATTTGACATGACTAGTTTTTGTTTAGTGAGATAATATGTGATTATGAGGGCTTGTCAAAGTGCCTGTCAATATATATATACATTGGTTATGTACAGAAAGGCACGCAATGTTACTCACTAATTGATAGATTAAAAGTAATCTATTCAAATTATTTTATTGCACGTTTGTATGCTTAATAAATACTACAATAATGGATTACACTGGACACATTTGAAAGTCTAAACAATTGGATAAGCACACTTGTGAGAATGCATTGTAAATCCTGCGTTGTTCATACACTGTATCGACCATTTATATTATATGCCTTTTGATGTTCAACCCTACAGCGAAAAAACTGACCAAATTGGCCTAGAGAGAATGTCCGGGAAAAGAACTGGAACAAGACGTGGAACAACCACTTGAGTTCAACGCCACACATTTTACTGATCCATTTGTATTTGATAATGAACAGTTAAGCAAGTAAGTTATGTCATGTTATTGATGTAATGGAGGATAGTGTCGTTGGGATGTTAGATCCCCAGAACTCACTTGGAAAAGGTTCTAATTTGTAATTTTTATGTTTTCGTGCATGGGTTGGCTGATCAGTTGACCTTGAGATTATATTTCCCACTCGGAAAATCCTTGACTGTCATTGGTTGATGGATTTTTGTGTCTCTCCCAGTTACGTTTCTATCATGCATAAATAAACTCGAATTGTGTGCTTGCCAACCTCATATTTTCTGGGTGCTTGTAGAATACAGTTTCTACGCTTTATCAAGACATCTTGCTATAGTTAGCAGAGCTGGGGACAATCGAATTAGGATAGCCTATCTTGTCACTGGATCATATGTCTTCACACTCGTTTACCGACTAAGGTGAACGCGTAATAGCATTCAAGCATATCAACTGATAAGCATATCAGTCTGAACTAAAAAAGAAATGTAGATTTGAGAAGAACGTTGTAGATGAGATGAGATGTCAAGACTTCTTCCTCCACTTAGTAGTGTGGCGTCCGGTCGCTCGGATCAGGATAGCCTATCATGTCACTGGATCATTTGTCTTCACTCTCGTTTACCGACTAAGATGAACTCGTAATAGCATTCAAACATATCAATTGACGAGCATAACAGATAATGAAATATTTTTGCATCAAATGTTATTAAGATGAGAGATAATAATTATCTACTGATCGGATATATCTGATGAATTCAACTCACGTTTATTTTTCTAAAATATTAGTCACTTAATCGAATATAGTCATTAAAATTATAAAGATTTTGTATTTACTTCACGATAGTTTAGATTAGCTGGTCACTGATGTATTGACAGGAATTCGATTAGTCTGTAGTACTTCTTCATTTACTCACTAAACTGACTGTAATAATTAGTCGTTTAAATTATTCAATAGTAGTATCAACCATTTTTTTGTATTTGTGATAATTCGGACTATTGTACATTTGATCGTGTGTGTGTGTATGTGCATGCTTACTCGCTTATTACATGTCTAGCTTATTATTGTTTGACTGTAAATACTTAGTCACTGCTTCAGCATAAGGAGAGTTGGCTCACTCGCCTTCTGCAATTCACTTCGCTTTGCTTGTACGCTTTTCTTGCTCATGTCTATTTGTTTAAATGAACTCCTGAAACAAATTCATCCGTGTAAACCTATTCAGATTCTTATTACCGCCGTTGCACAAACTGGATTTGCTTAAGTATGATATATGGAAATGGACAGGAAGATTTGTTACATCGCATACTCGATCATTCGTCTAAACTGAAGTTAAATCTAGCGCCACTAAATTGGTGAGGCCTATTTCGAATTTGACATGAGACACTAAAAGATCTTAGTTGACATCGAGTGTCCAATGTCTCAGTATGAGTATTATGACACAAGTAAATACATAATAGATGGAATTTGGATAGTAGTAACTGGGTAACTAGTGAATTGGCATTCGAAGCGTTATTGAGTTCTAGTTCCTTAGTAGACGTGACTTATGAGCTAAAGGTACATTTAACTGAAAAGTTCCAAATACGTGTCTTGGACTCCTGTAGGATCCAAACTGAGGTTTAGATTGAGGAATAACTGTCTAGGTAGGTTAGATACGCGCTATTGCCCAGTTGAAATCAAAACAAGGTGATTTGGGTAAATGACGGTTCTAATATTCACCATAAATTTAAAGATATACATCATTACCTCAACAAATATTACCACTCAGTTATTCCACCAACAATTGTTCAATTAATCAAATCAACAGCAACAAATAAATGATATTCTATCCTTTCTGGAGAGATCAAATTGGTTCGACAGATAATATTTGGTTGCTTATAACACAGAGTGTTTCCCATTGTGGAAGGGTGCTTCAATTCGCAATCAAACTGCACAATTCCAGTCAAAGCAAGCAACACAATCTAATCAAAAGAGGAACAAATCAATATGGCTGTCACAATGACTAAGTATCAGCTTAAGCAACATCAATGCAGTTCAGAAAGAAACATAGAAACTCAGTAAAGGCAAAAGAAATAGAAACTATAATAAAATACAAATATTACCATATCAAAATGGAATCGAACAGATTAACAAAATTTACCACTGAAGGAATCAATAAAGCCAAATTACTAATGTATACAACATGAAGGGATTTCCACACACAAAAAACCTTCAACAAATGAATCTTACACACTCCACTATTCACTAAATCTCCATACATTCTATATACTATGATTTTCGTCAATAAATTTGAATAACTTTAAGGATAATTTAAGCCAACTGTAAGTATACGATTCTTGATAGAACATGAAGATCATTAAGTCAGTCACGCTAACAACACGATCACGTATTCCTTTTTTTTTGTGTCTAAAATATAAACAAGCTCCCATGTTTTGATGATTAGGATTGACGTAAATCAATAGAAAACTGTTTATAGTAAACAAAACCATACTCTAAGTAATTCATTTGTTTGAACCTACGAGAAGACTGAGGCAGGCGCGGTGGCGTGTATTTAGCAAATTTACACTCCTAGTCAATTAAAAACAAAAACATTACATTGAACACTATTTGCAAACCATCTTTGAGTCCTGACTTCCAACGCTACAGCCTTCTTCCATTCCTGCTGCGGCTTCCTTTACTTCCTGTTGGTACTCCATTTACTTCTTGCTTTTGTTCCATTTGCTTTCCGTTTTCCTCTTGTGACCGTGAGACTTCTTCTTTCACATCCCTTCTTATACTACTTATATCGTTCGTATAAGTAGCACACACCACACTTATTGTAGAATTTGATGTAATCACAGTGTTACACATTTGTATAAAAAATGGAATTGATTTTGAAATAAGATAGTGTCTATTCACCTACAATAATTTCGAATGATAAAACCTAGTAAAATTAAACTGAGTTATTATAGCCGATAAATATTGGCTTATTGGAATAAAGATGTTAGGTGATAAAAATTATTGCATTACGGGGGTTGAGAAGATTGTTAAGTTACACATTTGAAATCATGTATCGGTCAGTGTTAGACCACAACACCATTAGAAACCTTGAAGCATTGGATGACCATTTCGTCCTGACATGGGATTCATCAATGGTAGTGCGAATCCACACTGTTTTTGTATTGACCAACTAGCTATATATTATTCATTAGAGAATTATGAAATTTATTGTTTGTCACTAAAATCATGATATGTGGAAGCAGTAGACGGCTGTTTCGTACTGGTATGGGATTTATCAGTACCCATGACTTTTACACAACTCCGCCAGTAGAACCTTCGGGGTTACTGCCGGTCCCAAGCCCGGATAAAGAAGGAGGGTTGGACATGGGGTTGGCGACCCCATTCCGTCAAAAAATAACTTGCCAAAAAAACGCTAACCAGAAAAAATAATTCAAACCATTTTAACTCTGCCCTGGGAGTTGGAAGAAGAATTATGACGTCTCGTGATGAAAGCCGAGTTCCCTCGGAGGTCACGGGGCCGATGCCTCTTCTGACAACCAGAGCAACCATTTTTTTAGGTACATGGAACGTTCGTACATTGTGGGAGACTGGAAGACTATTTCAAGTTGCGGCAGAAATGAAAAGATACAACCTCGAGGTGCTCGGCATCAGTGAAACGCATTGGACACAAGTAGGACAACTGAGACTAGCTTCAGGGGAACTGCTGTTATACTCTGGTCATGAAGAGGAAAATGCTTCACATACACAAGGAGTTGCACTGATGCTGTCCAAACATGCACAAAAGGCACTAATACGATGGGAATCTCATGGACCCAGGATCATTAAAGCATCCTTCAAAACAAAGAAACAGGACATTACAATGAACGTCATCCAATGTTACGCACCTACCAATGACTACAATGACGACGTTAAAGATCAATTCTACGAAAGGCTGCAGTCAATCGTCGATAAATGTTCACCAAAGGATTTGACGATTCTTATGGGAGACCTGAATGCCAAGGTTGGAATGGACAACACTGGATATGAAGACATCATGGGACGACATGGACTGGGAGAAAGAAACGAAAACGGTGAGAGATTTGCAAACCTATGTGCCTTCAACAAACTGGTCATCGGTAGCACAATATTCCCGCACAAACGCATACACAAAGCTACATGGATTTCACCGAATCACACTATTCAAAACCAGATTGATCATATCTGTATCAACAAAACGTTCAGAAGGACTATGGAGGATGTGAGAACCAGGAGAGGAGCTGATATAGCCTCAGATCACCATTCGCTAATCGCCAAAATGAAACTGAAGCTAAAGCAGCACTGGACAACGGGGCAGACAACATCACAGAAGTTTAATACGGCCTTTCTTCGGGATACCGTAAAACTCAACGAATTCAAGATAGCCCTCACCAATAGGTTCCAGGCCTTTCAGGATCTACTCAATGGAGAGGAAGCAACATTGGAGTACAATTGGAAAGGGATTAAGGAGGCAATCACTTCAACCTATCAGGAGGTCCTTGGTCGCAAGAAGCACCATCACAAGGATTGGATGTCTGTTGGTACTCTTGAAAAAATTGAAGAAAGGAGGAACAAGAAGGCAGCAGTGAATGTCAGCCGAACAAGAGCAGAGAAAGTTAAGGCGCAAGCCAAGTATACAGAAGCAAACATAGAAGTGAAGAAGAGCATCAGAGCTGACAAACGAAAATATGTGGAAGACCTAGCAATGACGGCGGAAAAGGCTGCAAGAGAAGGAAACATGAGACAATTGTACGAAACAACAAAGAAGCTCGCCGGAAACTATCGTAAAGCAGAACGACCAGTGAAAAGCAAGGAAGGCAAAGTAATCAGCAACACTGAACAACAGCGAAATAGGTGGGTAGAGCACTTTAAGTAACTATTGAATCGACCAGCTCCACTGAACACACCCAACATCGAAGCAGCATCCACGGATCTCCCAATTAATATTGGCGCACCTACGATTGAGGAGATCAGTATGGCCATCAGACAAATCAAGAGCGGCAAAGCAGCAGGACCAGACAACATTCCAGCAGAGGCAATGAAAGCAGATGTAGAAGCAACCGCGAAAATATTTCACATTTTCTTCAAGAAGATTTGGGATGAGGAACAAGTACCATCAGATTGGAAAGAAGGATATCTGATCAAAATACCAAAGAAAGGCGATCTCAGCAAGTGTGAAAACTACAGAGGCATCACTCTTCTTTCAATACCAGGCAAAGTCTTCAACAGGATATTGTTAAACAGAATGAAGGACTTCGTAGACGTCCAACTTCGAGATCAACAGGCTGGATTTCGTAAGGATCGATCATGTACTGACCAAATCACATGCAACATTACGGATCATTGTGGAACAATCAAATGAATGGAATTCACCACTCTACATCAACTTCATCGACTACGAGAAAGCATTCGATAGCGTGGATAGGAAAACACTGTTGAGGCTTCTTCGACACTACGGTGTGCCTGAGAAAATAGTTAACATCATACGGAATACTTATGATGGATTCAACTGCAAAATCGTACACGAAGGACAGCTAACAGACTCCTTTGAGGTGAAGACCGGTGTCAGGCAAGGTTGCTTACTCTCACCCTTTCTCTTTCTCCTGGTCATCGACTGGATTATGAAGACGTCGACGTCTGGATGGAAGCACGGTATCAACTGGACAGTTAAGACGCAGCTGGACGATCTGGACACCGCAGATGACTTGGCTCTTCTATCGCACACTCAACAACAAATGCAAGAGAAGACGACCAGTGTAGCAGCAGCCTCTGCAGCAGTAGGTCTCAACATACATAAAGGAAAAAGCAAAATTCTCCGACGCAACACAACATGCACCAACCAAATCACTGTTGATCGAGATGCCTTGGAGGATGTTAACACCTTTACATATCTGGGCAGCATCATCGACAACCAAGGTGGATCCGATGCAGATGTGACGGCACGGGTCGGCAAAGCAAGGGCTGCATTTCTACAGTTGAAAAATATCTGGAACTCCAAACAACTTTCAACCAAAACCAAAATCAGGATTTTCAATACAAATGTGAAGACAGTTCTACTGTATGGAGCGGAAACATGGAGAACTACGAAAGCCATCATTCAGAAGATACAAGTGTTTATTAACAGCTGTCTATGGAAAATACTTCGTATTCGTTGGCCAGACACCATCAGCAACAACGAACTGTGGGAGGAAACAAACCAGATTGCAGTGGAGGAGGAAATCAGGAAGAAGCGGTGAAAGTGGATAGGACACACACTAGGGAAAGCACCTAACTGCGTCACAATACAAGCCCTCACATGGAACCCTGAAGGCAGAAGGAAAAGAGGAAGGCCAAAGAATACATTACGCCGAGAAATAGAGAAAGATATGAGAGGAATGAACAAACATTGGACAGAACTGGAGAGAGAAGCCCAGGACAGAGTTGGTTGGAGAAAACTGGTGGGCGGCCTATGCTCCATCAGGGGGTAACAGGCGTAAGTAAGTAAGTAAGTAAGTAATGACTTTTACACCTTGCAGGATTCAAACCCAGGACCCTCGGTCTTGCGCACGAACGCATAACCACTGGACTACTGGGTCGAAATTCAACTGTGTTAATGTCTTACTCAGACCAATCTAGGGACTTTGCGTGACCTCATCCATTTGTTTTCGGTAGTTACTGCCTACACCCGACAGGGTTGAACTCCACTAGTCACGTCTTCTCACTAGAATTCCGAGAATTTCCTCATGAAGCTAGTCACTACTAGTGAGCACAATGTACAATTTTTCATTATAGAGTTTTGGAGATTGTTACTTGTGCTCCTCACTCATATGACAACTTTAAAAAATAACAATTTATTTAAATCTAACATGTTGCGATATCTACCACTGTATACTACAAGAGTGGAATTATATATATTGTCCATGATTGAAAAATTGACTGATATTCATCCAAATACGTTAAAAGTTGGCATATAAAGTAACTTCCATGTAGTACACTTTTCATTGTTTTGATCAGCACAAATCGTGAAATTAAATAGATATATCTGATACTAACTAACTGGTAGAAAAGATTTTTGAGTCATAGTAGTCAAAATTAATCACTGTTGCGCATATTTTTTCAATCTTTCTAATCAACTTATGTAATAATAGCGAATATCTTACGAAACTTCATATGTCAAGCCCATGTGGCTTGTCCAAGCCTTTGGATAAACTAATTAATCCATTATTCTCAAGTTTGTGTTCACACATCTTTCGACTTTGTCAATCATTTGTTTATAATAACCTTGGTTGCTTTTATTCGAGAATATATGTGTGTACGGCTTTCTTCACCTAGTACAACATGTCTAGCTTATTTCTGTCTGACCAGAAATACTTAGTCATGCCTAATCTCATTGACTTGGCTCATTCTCCTTCCTCAAATCGCTTTGCTTTGCTATGCTTGTACGCTCTTCGTTCTCGTCTGTCTACTTAAATAAATGCTTGAAATAAATTCAACTGAATCTGTGTTCGGCTTCTAATAAGCGCTGTCGCACAAACAAGGTTCGCCTTAGTATGATATACGCAAGCATAAGTAAATGTCCTCCCAAAAAGGAGTCATATCGTTGGTCATTAATGTGATGAGTCCTACTTTACGCTTTCTAATTCTATTATGCTATTTACCACCGAATAACATATTTTCTATAAATTAAATATTCTTTAGATATGAACTAAAACCAGAGGATACTTCTACTACTACTACTACTATTCATCACTCGACATCGACCAGATTTATTCAATGTTCCAATGATCGTTTACAACTATTACAATCACTTTGTCCATCAGCAGCTGCTGCAACTATACTCTTAGGTAAACCAATACATGATGTGAATGACAATGATGATGATGATGATATGAATCAAAAGCCAATACTTCCAACGAATAATAATCTTGACAAAACTCGTGTTCTTGTCACAGCGAATTCATGGTGTCCATTGTCATTACGATCAAAAGATCCAGAATCTCAATTATTGATCAATTCAATTTACAAAGATAATAATAATAATAATAATAATAGTTGTAGTAGTAATAGTAGTAGTAATGGCAATAGTCCTACCAAGACAACTATACCAAAGCAAACACCATCGGTAAGAAAAATGTATTATTTTTTTCCCTGTAGTTTGTACAAGAAAAAGACTTATTTGTATGGCATTTTTTGAAACGAATTAGTCATGTATCGGTGTCTCATATCATTTTATTCAAGCCGTAGTATCGATGGAATTCCTGACAACTATAATTATTACTACTGAAAATAGTGTAACGTCGCATTAAGGTATAATGGAGATCATTGTTTTTAGACATTGAAATCGTGAATGAATCGTTGTGTTAGAATACCGGTAAAAAAAGCTGGAAGAACGGGATGGCTGTCTCGTTAAGGTATGGGACTCATCAGCAGTGCGTATCTACGACTGCTGCTACTCGTAGGATCCTACCTCAGGACCTTCGGTCTTGCTCGCGAACGTTGACTTCTGGATTACTGAACCGGAATCTAGCGGTCCTAATGTCTAACTCTGATCAATCTAGGGATTTTGCGCAACCTCATTCATTATGTTTGGTAGTTACGGCTTACACTCGACAGGGTTAAACTCCACTGGTCACGTCTTCTCACTAGAACTTCGAGAATTTTCCCACCAATCTAGTCACCAGTGAACATATTTTGAGTATTAGTATTAAGGACTAGATTGTACACTGATGGAAACTATAAACTGACAGATCAGTGTAAACACCGTAATCAATTTTCCCTCCGTGATACATAACTTAATGGTAACTTTCCAAACAATGACACTAAACGATGCACCCCTGATAAAAATATGAAATTTGTTAGGATATTCATCCAATATCCTAAGAGAATTATTGGTCAATTCCTATTGATGTCAATGTCACGTACTCCAATGTTGTTTCTTATTGGTTGTCCCGACTATCAATGTCACTTCAAATGTTGTTTCCTATTGGTCGTCTTAACTGTCAATGTCACAGACTTCGATGCTGTTTCCTATTCGACCTAAATATATTGAGATGGTGGAGAAAACTTGTAGCTCAGGTGGATGATTGTGGTGGTGTTTTGTTCTCTGAGCTGGTTGTTTTGGTTGTGGAGCTTTCATTGCTGTTCTTCTGAACAACATCATCAGCAAAAACTTCAGATAGAAGTGAAACATTCGAATTTCTCCGCGTTTGACCTGTAGCTTGTTCTGCTAACCTCGATCTTGATTGGTTGTTGTTGACCTTTGACCTGTCGTTGTTTGCAACTTTGTTTTGATTGCATTCCCCTTTTGATCTGTTTCTTGATCTTGTGTCACCTATGATTTTCCTGATTGGTTGATAAATTGGGTCAATGTCGATGTGTTTGTTGATTGCTAATTGACCTGAGTACCAAGCTTCTAAAAATTCTCTAGTGTTCTTTGTCCTCCCCCTACCCAGTATTTTCACACTGTTCCAATCAAATGTGTGTCCATAATTGTCGGTGTGTATTGATATAAGCGAAGCGTTGTCGTGGCGTTTGACTGCTAATTGATGTTCACGTAAACGGAGCTGAAGAGGTCGTTCACTTTGTCCTATGTAGTGTTTTTCACAGTTTGAGCAATTTATTTTGTAAATGATATTTGGTTTTTCTTCCTTTATCATTTTGTCCTTTGGTCTACATAGGATTGATTGAAGTGATTCTGTTGGTTTGTGAGCCACACCTATTCCAAATGGTTTCAGTAGTCTTGCAGTATGCTCCGAAATGTCTTTGATGTATGGCAGGATGATGCGTTTATTTGTTCTTGTGCTTGATTTCGCTTCTGATGATGGTTTTGGTTGATGTTTTTTGATGAAGCTACGTGGATAGCCGTTCTTTTGGAAGATACTCATCAGGTGTTTTTCCTCGTTTTTTAATGCTTCGTATGTGCTGCATTGTGTCTTCGCTCTCTTGAACAAAGTTTGTATACAGTTGATCTTGTGGGTTCTTGGGTTGTTGCTGTCGTAGTTGAGAATTACGTCGGTGTGGGTTGGCTTCCGAAATACTTGAGTTTCTAGTTTTCCTGTGTTAGTTCTGGTGATTAGTACATCCAGGAATGATAGGCTGTTGTTTGATTCCTTTTCCATCGTGAGTTTTATGTCATCTAAGACGTTGTTGATCCGATTGTAGATGTTCTCCAGCTCATTCCTTTTGATAATAACACATGTGTCGTCTACATAGCGAACCCATATTTTTGACTTGATCACTGGCAGAATCGACGCTTCCAGTCTCTGCATTACTGCTTCGGCGATGAGTCCTGATATTGGTGATCCCATTAGTGTTCCTTTTATTTGTTCGTAGACTCTGTTGTTGAATTGAAGATACGTTGTTAAGCATAGGTCGATGAGTTCAAGCAGACTTTGACACTGAAGCTTTGTATATTTGTGTAGATTTGTGTCGTTGATGAGGAGCAGCGAAAGAGTTTCTTTAGCTAAGCTTGGCTCTATTGAGGTAAATAAGACTCTAAATTCAAAATGATTGATGTTGTGAATAATTTATTCATAAATCAATCGTTTTTTTTTATTAGATAATTTGCACAAAGATTACAAAAGTATTAAGTAAGAGGTATTTTAGACAAAATTTAGTTAGTTAATAATAAACACAGAATAATTAATGTTTTCTTGTCTGTTTTTATTCAATATGACGCATAAATAGATAACAACGTGAATGTACCGATAGACTGTGTGAGATCATATTGAAAAATTCTCATCTAGAATATTTTATTTTGTTAAAATTTGTCTAAGGTTTGAATAATAAAAAACTCGAAAATTCTCAATATTTTTATATAAAATGTCTAGTTTTCTGTTAATTAAAATTTATTAAGAGAATTAACAATTTGAAAATTATAAAATCAGTTATCGTTAGATCATCATTAGAAATCTGGAAATAGTAGGCGGCCATTTTGTCCTTGTATGAGAGAGAGTGATCAACAGTTTCATAATTTCAATGTGAAATAACTAACTCCATAACTCTATGAACTCACTAGTGACTAGTTTTGTGGGGGAAATTCTTGGAATTTCAGTGGAGTTCAACTCGGTCGGGTCTGGCCAGTAACTACTAAAGGCAACTGGTGAATTTACTCAAAATCCTTAAATTGACCAAAGTTAGACCTTTTTACAACGTTGGATGCTGGCTTAGTGGCGCAGAGGCTAGGCATACAAGCGCAAGACCGAAGGTCCTAGGTTTGATTTTCTTCGAGTATCAGGAATTGTGAATGCGCACTGTTCATAGGTCCTATATCAGGACGAAACGGCTATCCTGTGCGTGTGGGTTTCTGATGGTTGTCTAAGGATGATTGGTTCTCGATTTCAATGTAAAACAACGATCTCCATTACTTTATAATGAAAAATTAACTTGATAATGTGCAACTAATACATTATGACGGATTCACATTAATTAGATATAATCATAACAACATTATGTATCTATCTGTAAAATAAATCAGCTGTAATCACTGATCATTTATATTATCCAACAGAAACTATCTATGACCAAGAGATTATCTCGTTTGTCACAAATGCTATCCAATTAAATATTAGTCAGATGTATTCAATATCTATTTCATAAGGACAAGTTAGTGTTTTTCTAACGAGTCAGTTTTTTACGGGATGGGGTCGCCAACCCTAAGCCTATCCCTCTTCCTTTATCCGGGCTTGAAACCGGCAGTAGCCCCAGAGGGGCTCCAGGCGGAGTTCATAAGATCGGCATCGTCAAATCGCAATTGCTATTGAGATGGTCGAGAAAATTTGTAGCTCAGGCGGATGATTGTGGCGGTGTTTTGTTCTCTGAGTTGAAGCACAAACTTCAGATAGAAGTTTGTGCTGATGACGTTGTTCAGAAGAACAATGAAAGCTCGACAATCAAAACATCCAGTTCAGAGAACGAAACACCACCATAATCACTGTTCGATTGAATAGTAGACAGATTTACTCATTATCTATTTCATAAGATTGACATCATCAAATCGAACAACACCACAACAGCAGAAGGGAAAGCGTCAAATATAAAATTGAACATAAATTAAAGTTTATGTTTTGACAGAAAGGCTTCAAAGTACTAAAATCTGCTTTTCTTTCACACTTTTAAAAATAATGTTTGTATCAGATAAGATTAAAATAGCTTTGAAATGAAGTCCCTATCTGATAGTCAGTGAAACGTCTTAGATATATATGGTTATTTTTTAAACATAAGGAAATGAAATACATAATTCTTCAAAGATGTGTCTCGTTGGGGACGTTAGATCCTCAAAACTCACTTGCAAAGGGTCCTAATTTTGTATTTTTTATGTTTTCACGCATACGTCGCTTAGTTGACCTTGAGATTATATACTCCACTCGAAAAATCCTTGACAATCATTGGTTGATGGACTATTTTAGTAGGTTATTTTGTGGCTCACACAAAGGACGTTTCTATCATTGTATAAATAAGCTTGATTTGTATGCTTAACAACCTCGTATTTTCTGGGTGATTGTAGAATACACTTTCTACACCATATCAAGACTTTTTGATATCGTTAGTGAGGCTCTGTGACGATCGTTTTATAGCTGCCTATCGTGTCACAGGATCATTTGTCTTCGCTCTCGTTTACCTAGTAAGGTGAACTCGTAATAGTATTCAAGCATATCAATTGACAAGCATATCATGTGGATAATTGAGTGTGTTTCTATCATACGCATACACCTACACACGAAGGAATAGCACCCATAAACAACAACTAATTGGGATTGAACATGTAAAAATAAGTTCCCATAATCAATTGAAATCCGATGTTTATTCGTTGGTGGCTTGCTAGGATATTCATCCAGTATCCTAAGAGAATTATTGTTCGATTCCTGCTGGTCAATTTTATGGTCGTCCTAGATATCAATGTCATGTACTCCACTGATGCTTCCTATTTGTCGTCTTAACTGTCAATGTCACAGGCTTCGATGCTGTTTCCTATTTGACCTAAATATATAAATACACATTATCTGTAACGTTTTATGACCAGGATCAGGACCCATTCCCTGATCCCTAGTCCGGGATCCTGATTTTCTTCTGGACTCGGACCTCGTACTTTCTGGATTTTTGCAGAATACAGGTTCTATTTCACATTCAAGTCTTCTTATTTTCATTCAATATGGGGGTTGCGATAATCAGATTTAAGTAGCATGTCGTGTAGCCGGATCCTCAATCCTCACTCTCGTTTTCCGACTAGGTAAACTCGTAATAGTTCATTCATATCAAGTTGACGTGTTTACGTGTAGGTGTAACATGGCTAAATAATCAAACTGCCATTTAATACAACTGACTAAATCTTCAACTTTAGAATATTGTACTTAATATCGATAATGGCTTTCTTATACCAACCACTCTGTGTGTGTGTATGTCCGTGCTTGATTTTGATCCCCATCAACAGAATATTATTGTACTTACAATAAATAATATCTTCTCATTGTTCTTATCTCATCTTTTCAGTCTGCGACCGTTGTACCAGAACCTACCATTCGTGGTGGAACATTGGATGGATTACTGATATATGCATTACATTTATTGCAGATGCCGATATTAAGTAATGTTTATCATTATCTTTTTTTCAGTGTTAACTATTCATATCTCAACCAAATTTTGAGTTGAAAGAAAACCTTATTTATTTTGATTATTAACTTAAATTATGCTAAATAATAAGTGACTAGTTTCACTACTTCATCACTACTTCAATAGATGAAGTAGTGAAACTTCATCAGTTGAAGTGGTTGGGAAATGTGTTACGAATGCCTAACCACCGACCGAGCTATGTTTAGTGAGCGAGTCCGGAAACCAGCTTGACTATGCCCACCACTAAATGTTCCATACGGTTGCGTGACGAAAAGGAGAACAAAATAAATCCATAGTTCAGTGGTTTATTAAAAGAGAACGTCGGCGTTACATAGGGAGCAGCAAAAGGAGAAACATGGCGGCAACGCGAAGAGGACGTTGCGCGCAAGAAGTAGTACAAGTGTTTTTGGTACAGTTAAACATAGCGAGTACAATAATGTTCACATTTCAAAAATCGCATTTTCTTCGTAGAAGCGTTCCACTACAGCAGCCCCCGCCTAGAAAGGGTTTACACTTTCGATACATAGCGGCTACGTTTGACGGGGGGCTGGTCGGCCAACATTTGGTTTTAGCGCGGAAGGGTTGACGAACAGGAAGCGACCAATGAAGCTCGAGTTGTCACCGATAGTCTTCTACGTTGAACTGTACCAGTAGTAACGTGCCAGGTTTGCTGCTCGAGTTGATGTGCCAAGTTTGTCTATCGGGTTGGCATGCCACACCAGCGTGGCTCGTATCCAGAGTCTGAAGGTTGCTTTCGTAGGTGTTCGGACCAGATAAAGCTGCAGACGTAGGACGGAACCAGATTGAGCGGAGCCAGAAACGACCATTTCGAAACCATTAGTATACCAGATATATTCGTCACCAGAAAATCGACTGAGTGCATTGACAAGAGCGTGGGTGATCAGGCCAGCTTTCGCCAAGGTTGACTGAAGTCGACGGTACCAACAGGGCAATGGTCGAAGGTATAGGCTCGGGATAAAAAAATAGAAGAAAAGGGAGAAAGGTGTAGTGTAGTGAGTGTAAAATCCTATGCCGAACCCGTGGTTGACTGGTATTTAGTCGAGAAAGCGTACAGGTAGGCATACGCGGCGATCGGAACGCGAGACAGTAGCCTCGTGCGTACCTCGTGATCCTGCATTCTCATCCGCAGTCAAATGCGGCGTGGTCTGCTGATCTGGACGTGAGTTCGGAGTCTCATCCGTAGATAGTGCAGATGGCGCGTGCTGCTGACTGGGACGTGAGAATGAGGTTTTTGATTTCGCTAGCGTGGGATCAGAAGGAAAAATAAGGATCCCGCTAGTCAGGTGGACGAGTCTAGCATTACATCTCGATTTGCCAGGTGGGGCACTGTCATTGACGTGTGCTGGTATGAGACAATCAATGCTGACTGTGTCCATCAACCTTGAAGGTCTTTTCGTGACGAGAGATCACGTGAAAAGATCCTTCGTAAGGTTGTTGAGTACCGAATCTACTAGTAAAAGAACTTGCGGACAGGTAAATAACTCTCAAGGGAGAGCGAACTATCGATGTTATATTCGAGTTCACACCGGAGGCAGTATTCGCATCTACGCAGATAGTCGTTGGACGTAATCTGATATACATAAAATCGCTGCTCCGTGGTGTGAAGAAATTCCCCAGGCAGATGCAATGTCGTGCCGTATATGAGTTCGAAGGCGGAACATTGGATATCTGCCGTTGCTGCTCCGTAATCCCATGTCGTCTCCAACAAATGCCATCTTTCTGCGAACCAAGTGGAGAGGAGGCTGAAGGACTGTGAGAAAGACGAAGTAATACATATAGCAAGTAAACTGTCAAACTCACGCTTAGCGAAAACTAAGTTGTCCAGTGCCAGTCGGCGAGGTTTTGCCGTGACTGGGGGTCTGCAGGTGACGATGTGGCTTACCACATAAATAATCACCAGTTAAATCTCCTCGGTTTCGTTACTTTGGGGAATTTATTGAATATAACATGAAATAAATAGTAATGCAAAAAAATACATATTAATGATTCGGCACATATCTGTTTGCGTGTTAAAAACCATGGAGTTGATATTCGACGAAGTATCGATTAACGCAGCCTACGTGAATCGAATAGCAATTCATAGTGCTGTAATGGATCGATACCGAGTATGGCTATGGGAACATCAGAAAGGATTAACGTCCATAGATACTGTCGTTGGATACTCAGGTTGATAGTTAGCTGTCGTGTACCGTAGGTAGGAATGACAGAGCCATTCGCAGTGCGTGGTCGAAGCATCGTAGCTTATGACTTACTGCTACCAAACGATACGACAGAAACTTGGGCACTTGTGGCCACCAAGTACCTAGCGTTAGTGCAATATTCGAGCACGTAAAATAAACTAACAACCTGAAGTGACGGTGAGGAGACAGGTGAAAAATGCCATGACCTGCACCTCGGAGTCTATGATTATAGCTATCTACCATTTCGAAAAGTTGTTGCAAGTATAAAATATATTAAAGACATTATTTATAGTATTGCAACATTATAAAAATAGTGGTAGATGAATAATAGACTCACCGTAATTGACTTCTTTTGAAGAAACGTCAGTCTCACCAATTTTAGTGAGCGAGTCCGGAAACCAGCTTGACTATGCCCACCACTAAATGTTCCATACGGTTGCGTGACGAAAAGGAGAACAAAATAAATCCATAGTTCAGTGGTTTATTAAAAGAGAACGTCGGCGTTACATAGGGAGCAGCAAAAGGAGAAACATGGCGGCAACGCGAAGAGGACGTTGCGCGCAAGAAGTAGTACAAGTGTTTTTGGTACAGTTAAACATAGCGAGTACAATAATGTTCACATTTCAAAAATCGCATTTTCTTCGTAGAAGCGTTCCACTACAGCAGCCCCCGCCTAGAAAGGGTTTACACTTTCGATACATAGCGGCTACGTTTGACGGGGGGCTGGTCGGCCAACATTTGGTTTTAGCGCGGAAGGGTTGACGAACAGGAAGCGACCAATGAAGCTCGAGTTGTCACCGATAGTCTTCTACGTTGAACTGTACCAGTAGTAACGTGCCAGGTTTGCTGCTCGAGTTGATGTGCCAAGTTTGTCTATCGGGTTGGCATGCCACACCAGCGTGGCTCGTATCCAGAGTCTGAAGGTTGCTTTCGTAGGTGTTCGGACCAGATAAAGCTGCAGACGTAGGACGGAACCAGATTGAGCGGAGCCAGAAACGACCATTTCGAAACCATTAGTATACCAGATATATTCGTCACCAGAAAATCGACTGAGTGCATTGACAAGAGCGTGGGTGATCAGGCCAGCTTTCGCCAAGGTTGACTGAAGTCGACGGTACCAACAGGGCAATGGTCGAAGGTATAGGCTCGGGATAAAAAAATAGAAGAAAAGGGAGAAAGGTGTAGTGTAGTGAGTGTAAAATCCTATGCCGAACCCGTGGTTGACTGGTATTTAGTCGAGAAAGCGTACAGGTAGGCGTACGCGGCGATCGGAACGCGAGACAGTAGCCTCGTGCGTACCTCGTGATCCTGCATTCTCATCCGCAGTCAAATGCGGCGTGGTCTGCTGATCTGGACGTGAGTTCGGAGTCTCATCCGTAGATAGTGCAGATGGCGCGTGCTGCTGACTGGGACGTGAGAATGAGGTTTTTGATTTCGCTAGCGTGGGATCAGAAGGAAAAATAAGGATCCCGCTAGTCAGGTGGACGAGTCTAGCATTACATCTCGATTTGCCAGGTGGGGCACTGTCATTGACGTGTGCTGGTATGAGACAATCAATGCTGACTGTGTCCATCAACCTTGAAGGTCTTTTCGTGACGAGAGATCACGTGAAAAGATCCTTCGTAAGGTTGTTGAGTACCGAATCTACTAGTAAAAGAACTTGCGGACAGGTAAATAACTCTCAAGGGAGAGCGAACTATCGATGTTATATTCGAGTTCACACCGGAGGCAGTATTCGCATCTACGCAGATAGTCGTTGGACGTAATCTGATATACATAAAATCGCTGCTCCGTGGTGTGAAGAAATTCCCCAGGCAGATGCAATGTCGTGCCGTATATGAGTTCGAAGGCGGAACATTGGATATCTGCCGTTGCTGCTCCGTAATCCCATGTCGTCTCCAACAAATGCCATCTTTCTGCGAACCAAGTGGAGAGGAGGCTGAAGGACTGTGAGAAAGACGAAGTAATACATATAGCAAGTAAACTGTCAAACTCACGCTTAGCGAAAACTAAGTTGTCCAGTGCCAGTCGGCGAGGTTTTGCCGTGACTGGGGGTCTGCAGGTGACGATGTGGCTTACCACATAAATAATCACCAGTTAAATCTCCTCGGTTTCGTTACTTTGGGGAATTTATTGAATATAACATGAAATAAATAGTAATGCAAAAAAATACATATTAATGATTCGGCACATATCTGTTTGCGTGTTAAAAACCATGGAGTTGATATTCGACGAAGTATCGATTAACGCAGCCTACGTGAATCGAATAGCAATTCATAGTGCTGTAATGGATCGATACCGAGTATGGCTATGGGAACATCAGAAAGGATTAACGTCCATAGATACTGTCGTTGGATACTCAGGTTGATAGTTAGCTGTCGTGTACCGTAGGTAGGAATGACAGAGCCATTCGCAGTGCGTGGTCGAAGCATCGTAGCTTATGACTTACTGCTACCAAACGATACGACAGAAACTTGGGCACTTGTGGCCACCAAGTACCTAGCGTTAGTGCAATATTCGAGCACGTAAAATAAACTAACAACCTGAAGTGACGGTGAGGAGACAGGTGAAAAATGCCATGACCTGCACCTCGGAGTCTATGATTATAGCTATCTACCATTTCGAAAAGTTGTTGCAAGTATAAAATATATTAAAGACATTATTTATAGTATTGCAACATTATAAAAATAGTGGTAGATGAATAATAGACTCACCGTAATTGACTTCTTTTGAAGAAACGTCAGTCTCACCAATTTTAGTGAGCGAGTCCGGAAACCAGCTTGACTATGCCCACCACTAAATGTTCCATACGGTTGCGTGACGAAAAGGAGAACAAAATAAATCCATAGTTCAGTGGTTTATTAAAAGAGAACGTCGGCGTTACATAGGGAGCAGCAAAAGGAGAAACATGGCGGCAACGCGAAGAGGACGTTGCGCGCAAGAAGTAGTACAAGTGTTTTTGGTACAGTTAAACATAGCGAGTACAATAATGTTCACATTTCAAAAATCGCATTTTCTTCGTAGAAGCGTTCCACTACATATGTTTTATGGTGTAGGAGGGAGTAGGTTGGAAGAAAGCTAGGGGCGGCCAAACCAAAACGTGGCAGAAATCCATGAAGTCACTGACAAGTGGACTGAGTCATGTTGGTAGATGTAGACTATCTGGTTGGTGTCCGCGAGACGACAGTCACCGATGGTTAGAGACCTTGAATGACATGGCTCAAAATCGTTTGCAATGGCGCAAGTGCATCCACTGTTTGTGTTCTATGAAATTCTAATCTTCTGCATTCCTCATAATCTCTACCTTTCTCCTTCTAAATTTATCTTACTGAATTATACTTCTCGAATCAAATCTTCGCTGCCTTATCTTCTCCTTTACTGCTAATACTTCTATTATTGCTATCACTGTTGTATTTGAACTGACAGTTGCGTCTCTGTGCTGATGGGGAATGGCAACCTGAACTGATTTACTTACGTACGAAATTCTGTGTTGTATCTGTCTATCTGTCTGACTAATGATTAGGTCAGCTTAAAGTTTATATCAGAAATACTACTTCTGATATTGAAACAATAGTACACTGTAAACTATTGATTAGAAATACTCATAACTGTTGAATAGTCGTTTTAATTGATCAAGTTATAAAGATAGTTAAGGTTTCATTTCAGTCATTGATTGCAATTTTAATTGTAATAATCATGATATTATTAATCTAGCCTAATATGTACTCTTGTTGATATTGGGACTGTATGTATCAAAATGGCAAATTAGATGATTTTTAATAGTCAATAAAACTCCCTACTTTTTCCGTAGCAAGACAAGGAATAAACTTAATATAAGGTTTGCTAAAATGTGACATCTTTCCATTACTTTACTGATGTACTACCGGTAGTATGTCTATAAACAACATAAATTAAAATCAATATACTTTGCATTCATGAAATTCGCCTTCACACAATTTATACATGTTTAACATAAGGCATGTATGTGTTGGGGACGTTAGATCCCTAGAATTCACTTGAAAAAGGTCCTAATTTTGGATTTTGTGTTTTCGCGCATGGGCTGATCATGGTTGACCTTGAGATTACATTTGCCACTCGGAAAATCCCTTGACTGTCATTGGTTGATGTGTTATTTTAGTACAATATTTTTGTGGCTCGCCCAAGGATGTTTCTATGATGTTTAAATAAACTTGATTTGTGTGCTTGTTGACCTTATATTTCTGAGTGCTTGTAGAATACACTTTCTACGCCTTATCAAGACTTCTGGCTATAGTTAACGCGGCCGGCGACAATCGAATCAGGATAGTCTATCTTGTCACTGGATCATATTTCTTCGCTCTTGTTTACCGACTAAGGTGAACTCATAATAGCATTCAAGCATATCAATTGACAAGCATATCAGTCTGGACTAAAAAAGATGTAGATTTCCGAAGAACATTGTCGATGAAATTGTAAGAATGATGATAATGGGATAGAATAAATCAGTTGAAATGTTTCAAAGTTAAATAAAGAAGTTAATATATCCAACCAACTAAACAAGATGTAAACGATTTCCCACTTCTCTTAATGGTCTGTGGTGAATGTGACTGGGTTATCATTCCTCGTTGTACTCATCAGTACTATGACGGTCAGTATTCAATATAATTTCCTAGACTTCGTTTACTGGTCGTCCTCATAACCTCATATATATATATATATATATATATAT